CTTGCAGTCCGTATACATTTTGTACCTTTGCTTCACCTACTACATTAATGGTTTGATATAGGGGCTCAACTCTAAACAGGGCTGGGCAGTACTGCGACACAAATGGCAATGGTATCTTGAACGTACTTTCAAGTGTATGTATCATTGTAACGAGATGCATTTGAAAAATGTATTTGGATCCAGTGTTGTAGGCGTTGCCGAAAAAACGTAATGAAATACACTACTTGTTACTTGCAAATAAAAGGAACTCATTACCGACCTTTCCTTGAAAATAAAAGGAACTTATTACCGACCTATGTTACCTTAAAATAAAAGGAATGTGTTACTGTTACCGTTAAAAAGTAACATGTTACTTTTTTTAAATTATGAATTAACACATTTTATTATTTTGATGTTACAGGTATGCATAAGCACCATATTTGAGGAAACAATATGGCTACCCAGAAACGCCAGAAACTGAACTCAGTTACCTTCTTTTTTACAGTTCCACCTAAATACCTACTCACAAAAGAAAACGAAAAGACATTACATAACTTGGCTCCTAGAAACACACAAAAAATGTACGCAATTTTTGTAAGTCTGGGGAAGAATATGTAACGAGTCACGTAACTATGTTACTCGTAATAAGCAACATATGTTACCCGTAGACGTTTTGAAAATGTGACAAGTATGTTACAATGTTGCCAGAAAAAGTACTGTATTACCAGTAATGCCATTACTTGCAATGTGTTGCCACCAATACTGTTTGTATCTCAGTAGCCAAATACATTTCCAATGTATCGAAATACAGTACCAGGCTTGGGTATACCGTATATCCTTACATTTTTTGTTGTCGAAAATTAACTGTAGGTTTTTTATGATGAATTAAAAAAACCCTTTGCGGTGAGAGGGGTCCCAGAATGATACGTGGTGAATGAATGTAATTTAAAAAAGATTGAAAAAAGGGGGTGGGTCATTCCTTGATGCACCATCTCATGGATGCACCATCTCATGGCATGTTTTAGAAATGAGAGTGAATCTTTGGTAGGCGGTGCCATTCAGAAGTCCTTCTCTTCTTCCCTGGAAGGCCTATCACACGTTTTGTGCTTACCAGTCTTTGTTAGCATAATCAAGCTCATATTTTTTTTTTCTGTCTTTTATTTTTCTTTTTCTGCTCCACACGGTTTTGGCTGCAGTTTAACCAGGTGCTCTCTCTCATGAATTGCGAGATGATTTAGTGGTTGTGCTTGGAATAGTTTTGCGCAGAAATCTGAGAACTGTAAGAATTTTAGCGTTAACAGTTACTCCCAATGAATATAGTAACCCTGTTGCAGCAATAATTGAAAACGAGCGTGTACGTGAATAGATACAAATACTTCAAAGGATAAAACAATGAGGACGGGGACGGAGACAGGACATCTTTCTTTCAAGGATGAAAGAAGTCCTGTTTCTGTCCCTGTACTCAATGTTTTACCTTTTCAAGTATTCATACCCTGTTATAATTACAAGTTATTTCCACTAAACAGTAACGCATTAAAATTGCCGAAAAAGAAATGAGACGTATTTACAACTCCCTGTAATGCCGAATTAAAGAGCAGCTCTTGAGGAGGGTATGCCCCTCCTCCTCCTCCCTTCCTCGTGACGTCACACGTGACATCACGTGCGACGTCATTATGGCAAACGTCCCATAATGCAGCGCGCAATTACTAGTGACGTCACTCGTGACCCTAGCGACGTCATTATGGGAAACGTGCCATAATGCAACGCGCAATTACGTTGACGGCGCCGCCGCTCAAGCCGGAAACGGGCGCCTAAGAGCTGCGCTCTAAAAGTAAATAGTTACCGGCAACACATCACCAGTAATTATTCGCGACTCCAGCTGCCTATGGGGGCGCCACCGCCAAACAAACATAGCGGATGGGAACAGGTCGCGTTGGCTCGGCCAGGCCGCCTGAACGGATGTAGCATTCAATTTAACAGATGTTCTTTTGTTTAATCCTCTATTTTATAGGTATTTGAACTGCGACGGCTAAGTGTGGCCGGTGCACTTAAACTTGCAGAGCATAGTTCTGTTTCCCCGGTGCTTTTTGTTCTTTTCATATCAAACTCTTTTTCGGAGATTTCATTCAAAAATGAAACTATGGGCTTTAACCAGTTGTGAACAGCTAAGGAAAGCGGCGATGACTACAGAATTGTTCCACCGAGAGTAATTTTCAGCTAATTCACATGCCTCGACCATGCGACTTATCTGTCCGCAAAATCGAGCTTTTGTGCGCATCCGCGTTTAAGAAACAGCTCCAGTCGTCTGCTTGGTCAATAATACAGGCTGCAGGAAAATTACGAAAATTCAGCAAGCGCCTCTTGAGCCAAAAAGCATGTTAACCTGCTGGCGCCCCACTAAGCAGCTGATACTCGTATTTCAATTCAAGCAATCGCGAAGTCATTTTGACGAATATGCAGGTTATGTATTATATTGCGTACTATGTCTCACTAAAGCGATATTAGTATAGTCTTCGGGTTTAAATATGAGCTTAGTTGACTAGCTATTAGGTGAACTGCTGAATAAAAGTATATTTGACAGACAGAGAGATACTACTTAAACTCAGCTAAATGGTTCTAGCCGGCAGCACGGAGACGAGTGCGGACAAATTGAAGAGAGTCTTCATCAGAGATTCATGCTGAGCCCCTCTGCATCGAACTTGACTTCGAATCCTGAACGGAGAAATCGAGTATTTTTTGTGGCCGGACAACCTGAGCAATGTAGACATACATTGCTGCTGGCTTCGACGGGGGTATAACATAAATATTAGAGGCGAGATAGATCATATGTCGTGACAGCTTCTAACTTTGAGAGACGCATCCCTCACCTTTTGAAAGCAGACAATTTATCTCATTAATCGTATGCAGCGAGCAGGTTTTCCAGAATCAAGTAATTACGAAATCAGCCCAACTCCTTCGGTGTGGTCCAGAGTTTTTTCGGCGAAAAGCAGCCGAGATGAATAGCCAATGTAGCGACCGGCGTGGGTGGCTCAATCTTGAAGCTATAATTGAACACAACCAAACTAAAAAAAAAACAGCTGCAGTCAAACCTTCCCATTCATTTGACTGCAACATTAGTGTTCCCTCCAGTGAAACACCTCGTCTGTCGTCCTCAGTCCACTGCTCTACATCCTAATAAAGAAACCACTTATCAGTTACCAAGTAGTTGTCACTTTGAATATGATTCAAGACAGACAAGAAATCAAAAAAAAAAAAATTTCTTTTTTTTCCATTATTTTTTTCCTTCCAAGAAATTGAAAGCACGCGACAGTGTGTTGTGGAATAAACGGGCTTTCAAGCACGTAATGGAAGGAAAAAATCTACTGGGGTTGCACCACACTAATGAACACTTAGGCAAACTTAAGAAATATTCGGACCTTCGTCAAATTACATTGTTCGCCACCGTGCCGGCAACACGTGTCCGCGAAAGCCGCCAGAGGCGCAAAGAGGTGCAAAGCGACCTGTTCCAGTTGGTTCCCGGTTTTCCCACTTGGTGCCGTCCGTTTTGCTGGAGTCGCGAATACTTAATTTCACCTCAAGCCCAGACGCAGCTGACACTACAAGCTGATGGTACCAATCAGACAGCGTCAAAAGCGCACCGTTATGGTGTTTGTCATGCTGCTGTATGTGTTCTATCATTGCCGACCCAATCATAAACAGAAAAGGCCCAGTGCAATGTGCTTTTGACGCTGTTTAATCGGTCCTGTTAGTTCTTAGCGCTGGCAGAGTCTGGACTTAAGCTGAAACAAAGTGCAGTTAATGCCCCAGACTGCTTTCACGGCTTTTTAGAGCACAGCTCTTAGGCGCCCGTTCCTGGGTTGGTCGGCGTTGGCGTTGCATTATGGGACGTTTCGCTGCTAAATATAGCAGAAATATTTCCTCACTAAATTTAGCGGGAAAACTGAATTAATGTTGACGTCACCCCCACTAAATTTAGCGGGCAAATTTTCCTCCTAAATTTTGCGGGAAAAGTGACGTCACGACTTCGTGTCACGTCACCCATGAATAATTTCAGTGGCGGGAGGAAAGGAGGAGGGAGGAGTGAAGGAGCAGGAGAAGACGAGGGCAAGAGGAGAAGGGGCATACCCTCCCCTCCTCCTCCTCAAGTGCTGTGCTCTAGTTTCGCATTACAGAGATTTGTAACGTCCCATTTTTTTTTAAAACAAATCTGGAACGTCTATAAATACACCAGGTATGTAGCCCCGCTCAGCTCGGCAGTTTAAAAGTGTTTCTGAGCGTGCAATGTCCTTTTGTTACGAGCGAGCAAGTCTCTACCCGATTCTGAAAAGGCTCATCAAGATTGGCTATGCTCAACACTCGGAAGCAAAAGTATACCTACCATAGTACGGTATAAACTCATCACAGACCTCGATAGTCACGACTGCTTTGTTCTTCCCAGGTTTTATGGTGCAAGTGCTCCGATGGCCATACTGCGCAAAATTAAGTAAACTGATAGTGATGAAGATTTTGGACTGTGGTAAAAGGAGTACACAGAACGTAGACACTCTCACTACAGACTTTGAGCTGGATTATGCCTCGAGTCTGCTGTACACAGTGAGACTGACATAATGTGAATGAATATTAGAAAAGAACTGTACTATAAAAACTACTCAACTTTGAAAGGTAGTGATTTTTTATTCAGCTCTACCGATGATCGTCACCATCTGTGCTTTCGTTCTACAAGGCGTGCTAGGTGTCGAGCGTGATGACACCAGTTCGCAAAATGCCGCGTAATGTCCAAAATAATGACTGCTGTCAAGGGCCCATTATAACGGAATGGCAAACCACTTACAAACCCCCTAATATAGTCCATTATATCCGAATGTATGTTGGAACAGAATCTGTAATACGCAAATTTGGCTCAATGGCATAGATAGGACGACCAACCGAAATTCACAGATTGTTATGTCATAGTAGCCGAATGTCTGCTGTAATGAGGTCATACTCTACACACATTGCAAGTGAAGATAAAGACCTGCCAGTGTTGTCCAAATATTTTAATAAATTCTTCCAATCTTTCCACACAGTGTGCCGTCCCCAGAATGATAAAAATACAACCACTTAAATAGTACCTTTAGAAAAAATATGATTGGGAACTGAAAAAAACATGACGCGAGTATGAGCAAAGAAATAATACACGATGCCATTCTCGCTATGGCAGTGCCTATAATGATCATGGTTACCCAGTCAAAATGTATGAGTTATCAACAAGAGCCTCATGCCGTACAATAAGTTTGGGTGTCATAAATTGCCAGGCTCGCTCTAAAGTCGACCGCAACAATAGACCTTGGGCAGATTTGCCCGCCATCTGTCGGAGCTGCTAAAACGCAAAGGTGAACTTTGCTTTACGCTGCATCATTATTGTGGCGCGACTCTCACATTTTGCGAAACATTTTCAACATGTAGGCGAAAGCATAAAAGCGGGCTCTTGACTGCTAAACTGGACGTCTTGGCGAGTTTGACAGTCGCGCTTGCACGCTTTCCAACAGATCGGCTTTGTGCTGAGGGAGAAGCTTCTGTATTTGTAGCCAATACTGCAAGCGCCCACTTTTATGAGCACTGATCATATTCTATTGCGAGTGTGCATGAAATTGAAATGCCCGCTGAGCTAGATGACCGAGCTACCAGGAGGAGCACATTAAAACGTTGCAGACATTTAATAATGCATTTTTCTTAAGAGGCCTAAAAGTATAGATGTGCAAGTACTGAATTTATTTATTGATATAATTATTATTCTAAAAGGAAAGTGTTGCGGCTTTCCGTAGAATAATGTTTTTTGTTTTTAAATACATTGTATTCCGCATACTTGCACCGCGGGGACACGCCGGTCATTTCATTTTATGCATGTGTGTCTCGCGTACACTTGTGTGCCTATGCTAGTGTAACAAACTTGCGCCTAATATTCGTACGTTATCCGCAAGCGGCTGACACCATCAACATACTCCAAAGAATCAAAAGAACAAGCGACGAACGCTATGCGGGGAGAGTGGGGTTCGTACTGCGGCGGGGTTGGTGGAGAACCCTCACAAGTGGCGCCGAGCCTCTGATATGTGTGGCCGCCGAGAGATGGCACTAGTCATGAATAAGGTCTCCTGACGCCTGCACGCAGCAATCTCAAACTTTGCTCGAAGGGGTATTTTAGTGGTGGATACTACCTCATAAAATTACGAGGCATAGCTCCCTTTCTGCGAAAACTGAGACCAACAAGCTTGCCACGGTCAACGTCGGACGACGACGCAGATGACCGTGTTAGCGGTGATTGTGCTTGTGGCGCCATCTCCCTATGGGCGCGGCGAGCGGACGACCAAGTCGTCTGCCGTCCACCGAGTGCGTCGTCTGCCCGTTACACCTGTCGGTAGATGACGTTGCAATCGGCGTCGTCCTCCGCCGTAGACTGTGGCAAGTTTGTCTCATTTTTCGTAGAAAGGGAGCTACGCCTTGAAATTCCACGAGGTAAAATCGCCATTGAAATGGGTCTTCCGTGAAAATTTGGGATCCCTAGGTGCAGGCCTCGATTTCTCCGGTCGATATTAAAGCTAACTTGGTGATTTATGTTACCCTCCCGTTGTACAATGTCAGTGGTTGTAAAACCCTTTCCCCTCCGCTCAAGGAATGAGGGGACGGTATGCCCGCTATGAACCAAATGTTTCTTCACGACGCCTTTTCGCCTTCGCTTTCGCTGTCGCTGAGCTGAAGCTGTATCTTGCACTTCCTGCGAGGCAGCGCCTTCCGCACCGACCTGGGCGGCTCGAAGACGTTCTCCTTGGCTTGTTCCGTGTCGCTCTCTTCGGACCAGTTGGCCACCTTGGTACGCCGCGTGAACCTGGAGGTGCTTTTTGCGGATTTGGAAGGTGGCTTCTTTCCTCGGGGCGCTGGAAACAAAAAAAAAGAATGAACCGCACCTTCAAAATTTTTTTTTTCGAAATTTCGGGGATCGGAGAAAATTTAACAATTAATCCGAATAATTAACGTTTCAACCAGGGGACTTGAGTTCAATAAGAGCGACACGCTGTTCAAAGTATTTGAGTTTTCCAAAATTTGCAAATAATGTCTCCAGAATTCTCCAATTACTGGCACCAGGCTTCACCGCTTTGCATCGACATGCACGCGTCCAGCTTCGCTCCTTGTGTCGCAAGCTAGAGGAGACGCCTGACCTGTCGGAGCCCCTCGGTTGGCTCAGTAGTGTAGGAATCAAGGATGTGCGAATATTGAAATTTTCATATACGAATAAAAAACAAACATTAAAAAAATACCTTTAAACATTGAATATGTTTCAAATATGCGTGTACCATTGAAAAATAACAAAGGAAAATATGCAGATACTTTATTATTTTCGAAACGGAAAATGACGTCAACAAATTCAAATAAATGAAACTATCTCTCTACCATAATATCCCGAGTCATCGCCCACCACCCTGCCGCCTGAAGTTCATAAAAAAAGTGGGGTGGGCCATGTCTCGGTGGGTGAACACAAAAAGTAAAAAAACAAAAACAAAAAGAAAAACACTTTTTCTTTTGTACGTATTTAGCACAGGTGCCACAAGAGATACATTAAACTCAAGACTCCAATTAGTTTCATTGTTTTATGCAAGAAATGCTCATGAAACAATGTTTTACTACCGCAAAGTCTGTTGCTCACATACGCGCATGAGCACTGCCGATCGGCATACAGCCCAAACGTTTGTTCCGTGAAAGCACATTTCTAACACCGCTACATTCTCTTCGTTAGGTAGAAACGAAACAGAAAGACAAGTTAACAAGGAAATAGAAAACCAAACAGGCGTAACAAGTGAGTGGACGAAAGAAGCGACAAAGAGCAATATGCACGCGAAGCGCAAGAGCCGGGGGAAGTGAAGCGTCCCAAACGCGCGCGCAGTCGCAACGAGAAAGCGCGTGATCTGTACCGAGGGTTCCCAAAATTCTCTGCCGTCGTGGCGCTGTACGTTTTGCAGAGGGTCTATTCCCCTCTCCTTGTGCCAACAGGGGAGACAAAAAGGGTTTTCCCTTCTTTGCACGTGCGGCAACAACAACCCACGTCGAAATCTCTGCAAAGTATCGCCCGTAAAGCTATCGCTTTAAAAAGGTGGCCAATCCCAGAGGCAGTGCAATACCTTCAGGATTGCCGGTGGTTGGCACAAGTTTCTCACGAAGTATGTATGTCTGCTCGATCACCTTTTGGCAGACTTATACGTCTACAGTAACTACTCAGTTACTGTAGTTTAACTACTTTTCTGATTAGTTTAGTAACTTTCAATTACATTTTTATTTTGCTCTTCGTCAATTAGTTTATTGATTGGCTCAACACGTGGCATGTACACTCGATGGCAACTACTGGAAAGGAGTTAGCACGGCCTTTCAAAACGTGCGACAGGGTGTCAAGTTGCTATCTGCAGGACGCAGAGCGGATGCCCCGCAAAGCTTTCCCGCCAAATAGCACCTCAACTCACGGCGATGTGACGCAACGTGCTGGAAAGGCACTCGCAAGGGGACACATGGCTTGGGAGGGTCAACTTTTGAACCAATGTCTCAAATGGATTCAAACTTTCAGGGTGAATTGAACCCCATTAGGATTGATGACATCTAAAGTTTCAGTCTTATAGGCCAATTCTACAACATACTATGCTTAACAAGCTCCAGAAAAAAGTTACTTTAATAGGAAATGTATTTAAGAAAAATAATAATTGCAATCCACAAAATGTTTGGTTTAATGGGAAGTAGAATACCCATGGTGCAAGTTAAGGTAAAAATTAATTGTAGAAAATGCAATTCTAGAGAAAAACAATAACACCCAGAAAGAGCAAACGATTTTAACAAATTTCTGAGTTTTAAAATATTCAGTTTTTGTCATGAGGAATTTAGCTTTTTCAGATTATGTGTACCTTAACTTGTTCCTCAGGAAATTTCAGTCAAGGACACCACTGAATGAAATCCTTACACTTTCAAAATGTCTAATCATACATTTCATGCCCAAAAGTGAAACAGAGAAAAATGCATTTGAAGTTTCAACTTTAGGTTTCTTTCTTTTCTGTGAGTTCAAGGTGGGCAAAATTCACCTGGCACATTGTTAGCACCTTCCTCTTTGAGACTTCCCTGTTCACCTGGCAATAGCTACCAGTTTGTGTTGTTCCTGGCCATTGATAGTTGAGGGTGAGATGTTCTGGCTAGGTTAAATGAGTACATATGAAGAAGCGCTAAATAAAAAACGCAAAAAACTTGCTCCCTGCTGACTCGGAGGGCTGCCGACATGTCGAAAATAATTTATTCCGAGATAAATCCTGCATGTTTATAAATGAAAGTTTCTGAAACCATTCTTTAAAAGTTAATAAGCATAAACATGACATTTTTGAAAAAAACATTTTTTCTGAGAATTTTGAATTCCGAGGCTATGTCCCCCCTTAATAATCTAAATGGTCTGGGTTCTATTCCCACCTGGCGCAAACACTTTCTTACTGTGATGGCCCCTTAGCCCTTACGTCTTCATTGGACCAGTCATACGCCTCTCTTTCGCCACGTCATCATGCTCCCAGCCATACCCACCGCGGAGAGCCGGGGCAAGTGATAAGAGAGACGTGTCTGATTGATCCTGCGGGCCCGTAGCTCCCACTGTAGTCTCAGCTTAAGGGTGATTGGAGTGTGAAGACACACTCCTTAATTAAGGGATTAACCTATTGAAAGACAGTCACGACGTCTGAAGGTTTCGCTTCTGCGTGCCCTCATGTTTTGGTCTTTTTAAAATTTTTGTTCGATGTCATATAAAATTAAAGAGGTTTTTATTTTTAGACATACATTAGGGATGCATGATGTTTATTTGAGGTTTTGCTCTCTATATCAACTTGATTTTGCAGACACTGTGTTCGGTCGTTTAGACTTTTTTATGTCGAAATTGGGGGAATTTTAAAGGTTTATGGAATGATTTTCGAAGCGCGGATAACTTTTACACTCTGAGTTTTGTGAGAAGTGGTTAACGCAAAGCAGTCACTCTGCTCTCCCTTGCGGGTACCGGCTTGTTTCCTCTGGTTTCCCCCATTTCCCCACATCCACCCAAATCATTCTCAGTCTCAAACATTGCTTCTCTGGAAGGAGTCCTCAGTTCATGCTTTCTCACGTTTTCCCCACGGGAAGACAGAAACAAACCAAGAATTGAAAGACGTTTACAAATCCCTGTAATGCGAAATTAGAGTGCAGCTCTTGAGGAGGAGGGGAGGGTGTGCCCCTTCTCCTCCTCTTCCTCCGTACCCTCCCTCCTCCTGCATACCCTCCCATCCTCCTCCATTGTACCCTCCCCTCCTTCTCCTCCATACCATCTCCTCCTCCCACAGTTTCCCCACTAAATTTAGCTGGAAAATTGGTGCCAGGTGACCTCAACACAAATTGTGTTGAGGTCACCTCGACGCGATCCTAAAGAACAACCATTTTCGGTTAAAACAGAATTTTCGAGAATGGATTCGGCTTACTTTTATCGGTTTTTATCGGTTTAAACCGAAAACTCCGAACCCTAGTTATGTACAAGTCTGATTTTAGGTGCCTGTCTGACAGGGGTATACTGTGGTGCATGATTACAGTGGTCCGCTAGCAAAGGTACACCACTGCAACCATGTTTTACACTTGCAAACCTTTTTTAAGGTGCCTTCGGCATTCTTTTTGCCGTCACTACATTCTCCACAGTCCGCGAGATGGGTATAAAAAAAGGAGGGTGATGGAACAGTGTGAGTTTTGGGGGCTTTTGCATTCTTTTAATGTGAAGCATTCTTTGGCTTGGTGTTTAGCATTTCATGGAAGCCCGTTGTTCCCTCAGATTGGCGAATTGCTCGGGTTGTACCCGTTTTTAAAAAAGGAGACCGTACAATGTTAACAAATTATCGCCCAATTTCACTCACCAGCTCTTCGTGTAAACTACTGGAACATATAATTTCTAATTACATCAATGATTTCCTCGATAAACATGAAATAATCTCGCCTTTTCAGCATGGGTTCCGAAAGGGACTTTCTACTACTACTCAGCTCATTTCAACTATTCATTCTTTTGCTTCTATAGTAGATAGGCCTGGTCAAGTCGACGTCATCTTCCTTGATTTTAGCAAAGCCTTCGACAGAGTTCCTCATTCCGGTCTTATATACAAACTAAATGAGATTGGCCTTCCCAGCACAGTTGTTCAATGGATTTCATCTTATCTTCAAATGCGAAAACAATTCGTCGATGTAGTCGGTCACCATTCTGATCCTCTTCCTGTAATTTCGGGTGTTCCGCAAGGGAGTGTCCTTGGCCCTCTTCTTTTTTCAATTTTTATTAATGACCTCACTTTTTGTATAGATAAAAGCGTGAGTATTCGTTTATTTGCGGACGACTGTCTATTGTTCAAGGATATTAACTCTACTAGGGACCAAGTTGTTCTGAACGAAAGTCTTAATGCAGTTTCTAGCTGGTGCGATCATTGGGAGATGAAGCTTAACCAAGAAAAGTCCTTGTACATGCGCATCACTAACAAAAAGTCCTCTTATCAGTATGAATACTTTATTGGTGATAACTACATCTCTCGGACGATGAGCTTTAAATATCTTGGTATAACAATTTCTACCAACTTATCTTGGTCCTCACACCCGTCGAAAACTAGGTATGATAAGGCACAAGCTTAAGCACGTGCCTTCTCATGTGAAACTTTTAGCCTATAACACATTGATAAGAATGAAGTTAGAATACGCCTGTACAGTCTGGGATCCATTCACAAAAAAAGATATCAAGATACTGGAAGATGTTAAAAAGCAAGCAGCTCTTTTTATATTTAATCGCTACCACCCGCATGACTCACCTGCTGCCTTAATTCAAAGTAACAACATCATCTCTCTTGAATCACGAAGGAAGCTAGCTAGACTA